TGCTGCACCGGGCTTCCCCACAGCGCGGGGGGGGGGCTGCGGGGCCAGGCAAAGCTCACGGGTTGGAGGCAGGGCAGAAAGCAGAGGCAAAGCCCTGCATCCCCGCAGAAACCCTTTATTCTGGTGCCCCAGCCTCCACGCTGGGCTGAACTTGCCTGGGAGGAAAGCGCGGAGCTGCGGGATGAGAGCTGCTGGAATGCAGCGCCTCAGGGTGGGCAGAGCCTGGCTGAGGGAAGCAACTTCTCCTGGTGGCTCTGGGCGTCCTGAATTTTCCCACTTGCTGTTATTTTATGCGGGTGAAAACGCTGGTGCCGATCCTGCAGGAAAGCCCAGGTCACCGTGACTCACCCAGCTGTGGTGCAGGGCACAGAGGGAGAACACAAGGAGGGGCACTGCATTCCCCACTGCCTCTCTAGGTGCTAGGATGCCCCAAACTCCAATACCCTGTAGTGGAGGCTGCAGTGTGTCCTGCTCTCTCCCTGCTGGAGAGTGCAAGAAGAGTCTTGGGAAGGTCTGGCTGGGCCAGACCCCATGCTGGGGTCACCCAACCTATGGGACACCTGGGCTGGCCAGGTCGCAGAGATGTTCCTTAGCTCCTCCTTCTCACTGGTGACAAACCTATTTAGCCCTCCTCGTCCCGCCATTCCACGTCCCATGGGACTTCTTCCTTCTTCAGCCTGGGGTGCAGGAAAGCTTGGCACAGTGGTGATCAAGACCAGTGCTCACCGGGTGGCTTTCCAGTCCTCAGCAGGGCTGTCAGCTGCTTCTCTCAGGAGCCACAGGGCATGCAGCGTTTCCTCTCCGTTGGTGCCCACATAGCACTGGCCCAGGAATGCAGTCATCCGGGATGTCACTGAGTCTGGAAGGGTCCAAGATGACATGAGTCTGGGTGGTGAGGCACAAAGCCACCCTGCTGCATCCCACTGGCATCCCTGCTGCAGGGTGATCCCTGCCCCCCCGTGCACCCTAACACCTCCCTCCTCCCTCCACCTACCTTGGAGCTGCCAGTGCACTGTGAAGGAGAAGATGGGCTGTGGGACCAGCCCCACATCCTGCTGGGACCCCTCCAGTGGCGAGGTAAGGATTTCAGAGCCACCAGCAGCAGGCCCCGGCAGGTAGGAACCAGAGAAGCTGCCGTCCTTGCCAAGGGCAGACACCACCATCCTGCAGCCCGTGTCACTCCTCCAGGACCCGGAGAGGAGGCACTGCAAGGCCAGTGCTGTGGTTTGCGGTGCCTGGCCAGGCAGGGAGATATCCTGCTCCTGCCCAACCACCCTGGCTCTGCCCACAGATGCCTTTATAACTGAGGGACATGCCAGGGTTCCTGGGTGAAGGTGGTGGCCACGGGCTTTGCCACCTTGGCATGAGCATGGCACCCTCAGCACCCTTCGTCTTCAGCCCAACCTCTGCTCTGGGCTCTTTGTGGCTGCCACCCTGGGGGGAGAGGGTCCTCCCCCTGCTCAAGCAGAAGGTGTGTTTGGTGGGAAAGGGTTTTTTTCTGGCACATGTCTCTGTTTGCCTGTCTCTGGGTGGATACCCAGAGCAAGGAGCATCCTGGCAGGAGTGACCCCTCCCTCTCCACAGCTTCCCTCAGCACTGCAGCCTGGCACCAGCTCTTTGCTGAGCACTGCAGCCCAAGCAGCCTTTGGGGTCTAGCAGGGTTTCAGCACCATGTCCCCATCATCAACCCCCATACCTTCTTCTCCTCGGGGGTGACACATGCCACCATGGCCAGGGTGAGGAGCAGGGCAAAGTCACCCCTTCCCATGGCTGTGGGGCAGTGAAGTGCTCGGCACAGCTCCTTTCCAGCCCTGCACCTCAGCCTCCTTTATAGGGCTGTAACCAGAGCCCCAGGGGCAGCAGGCTGGCAGCAGCAGGGGGAGTGACCTGGTGGCAGTGTGCCTGGGACAGGACAGGCGAGGTGAGGAGGTCTGTGTGACCTGGGCAGTGTCAGAGGAATGCAGGGATGAGCACGGCTGTGGAGAGAGTGCTGGAGGCATAAGCTTATTAAAAGACCTTTATAGCAGCCTGAAGAGCATCAGCTACCCTCCTTGGGAACCATATGTTGTCCATGCAGGCTGGAAGTTGTTAACTGTTTAAACATTTAACTGATCCCTGCTTTGCAGGTGCCACTGTCTGACCAGGGTGTCACCCAGGCAGCGCCACGTAACCTGTGGCAGAGGCAAGGTGCAGCACTGCCCAGGGGGGAAGGATTGCCCTGCCCTCTGCTTTAGCAGCAATAACATTTCCCCAGTGTCTTCTGGGTGTCAGCTGCTAATTTTACTGGTTTTGCTTTTACAAGAGTTGGAGGAAGAAGCAAACACAGAGGTGCACTGGGATCCAAGTGGGTGTGTTTGCTAAACACACCTAGTGTGCTAACCAGCCTTCTGCTTGCACCTCTTGCCTGTATTTGTTGCTCTTTGTATGTACAGCATGCACTGCCCCTGCTTCCCTGAGCTGCTTCCCTGATTGCTGCAGTGCCTGGAGAACCTGTGGGACACTTGAAAACTAAGGTGGGATTCAGCTGCACAAACAGGTGCTGTTTTCAGGATGGCAGTGTCTGGAGCACTGGCTGGCAGCAAGGCTGCAATGTACATACTGGGGTTGGGGAATCCACAGCTCAGTTGCTTCTGGCACACCCCGGGCCCCTGCTGCTGCTGCTCAGTGCCTCTCCTCTGGTCCGGATGGCCCCAAACACTGGGGCAAGCAGAAACCACCCCTTCTCCTAACACATCACTCCTCCTTGTCACCTTTTGCAGTCCCAGACTCAAGATCTTATCAGAGGGTCCTGAGAAATCCCTTCCAAGAGATCTCCTGCTCTTGCCCCAGATGCTGTGCTCCATCCTTTTGGCCTGTCACCAGCCCCTGCCCTTCTGCACTGTTTGGCAGGGACAAGCTGCCCTGTTTGAGTTGCCAGGGAGGCTGCAGCCACCACTCCATGTCATGACAGTGTGCAGCAGCCTCACTGGGGCTGGGACAAACCCAACAGACTGTACAGCTAGTGTGCTGGCATCCCCAGGTCTGGGTTATATTTCTAACACTTCTGCAAGAGGCTTCATCTTCACCCATGGACCTGCCAAAAACTTTGCCTTGAAAGAGCTGACTAAGCTTGGCAGGTGTCCACAGAGGCAGATAGAGTGGCACTGCTGAAATGCAGCAGCAGAGAAGGGTAAAATTCTTGGATCCTCCGGGGAATGGGATGGGAGAGGATGAGATGGAATACAGCAGGCTTTAGCTCAGCACGTTTTACTTTGGGTGCCATGCAGAGGGAAGTGCTTTACTGACATCTCACATCTACTGATACCATTGCCTCCATCACCCAGCCCCATGGACCATGGAATACTGGGACTGCAAAGGCATCTGGTGGGGATTGGTGTGAAGGCACTGCAAGGAAGGCAGCTGGATTTGGGATGCTGATGCCATCTCTGCCACTGGCAAGCAAGGAGGGGGGAAGTGATGAATCAGGGTGGAAGTTTAGGTTAAGGTGAGGAGGGAAATGGCCCAGGGAGCTGGGTGAGAGGAATGAGGGAGGGACCCAGATCTCCCTGGGAAGGGCAGCGGTGAGCCCTCACCTCTGCAGGGTTACCTGTATGGACAGAAGCTGCCTCAGAGGAGCAAGGGCAATTAAATAAAAAATACAACAACAGCTAACATGACTTCTACATTATATTTTTCTGTGAGAGGCTGGTTTTGCTGTTTTGAGGGGGGAGCTGCAGCCAGAGTGTGCTGTCATGGGGCAAGCAAAGACACATCCTCACAGGATGGGGACAAACTCTGCAGGATCTTTCCTTTCCGGCCGCGTTTGCGCGTGAAGACGTTTCTGCCTATCCTGTGAGAAGAGGAGAGTTCCTGTGGGACAACTCACAGGCATCACCCACCCAGGGCTACCAGTGCTGGCAGGTGACAGAGGTGTCCCTCAGTGCCCTCCAGATTGCCCTGAGCAGCTGCCAGATGCTCCTGACCAGGACAAGTCCCTTGCCAGGAAGCACTGGCATCCCTGCTGCAAGCCCACAGTGGGAGGTACAGGGGTCCCCTTGCCCATGGAGATGCTCCTCCTCGGGGGATCCTGGGGAAGACCCCTCCATGGGGCCGCTGTTCCAAATACCTCGTGGCTTCCCAGTCCTCCTTGAGGGACCCGACAGCTTCGCGCAGCAGCCACGTGGTGGCCAGTGTCTCCTTTCCACCTGTGTCCACGAAGCACTGCCCCACGAAGGCAGTGCTGGCGTCTGGGGGAAGCGTTTGTGGGGGGTTGGTGCAGGTGGCACCCACGCTCACTGGCTGGTTTCCCCAACCTGCAGTCCTCCTGTTCCCTTTCTGATGGCCACATGCCCACCCAGCCCATGCTGGGTGGACCTGCCCTGCCCCGTCAGCTCCCTGGGGCAAGGTGGGCTCTGCCACACCTCATCCCCCTGCCCTAATGGGGTCCGGAGCCACCACAGTCACCTCGGGCTGCCCAGCAGGGGTGGGTGCAAAAAGGCTAGGTGAGGATGGCCCCCCCCCGTGTGGGGTCAACATTGACCCTTAGATTTTGCTGCCTCCCTCTGCTCAGCTGCACCAAATCGTCACTCAGCAGATTCCAAGCAGAGGGAAAACCTGCTGGTCACCAGTGCAGCCCCTGAGTCCCCCGTGGTGCCTTCCCCAGCCGTCCCAGCACTTACTGGAGAACTTATGCCAGCGCACGGTGAAGGCGAAGGTGGGCCAGCCCCCCTCACCGGGCTGCTGCTGGGCACCTTTCAGGGGGGAGGCCTGGGCACAGCCACCAGTGAGGGTGACCCTCGTGAGGTACGTCCCCTGGAAGTCCCCATCGTCGCTCACTGCTGAAATCTCCATCAGCGAGTCCTGCTCGTTCCTCCACAGCCCGCTGAGCTGGCACTGAAGGGACACAGCCAAGGGCCCTCTGCCCTGATGCATGGCACAGAGGGGGACCCCATCCCTCCCTCTGGCCCATGGCTGGAGCCACAAGCCCTGCAGCTGAGGGCAGCCAGGCCAGCAAGTCCCAGCCTGTCAGCATGCACGCTGCACCCAGACACAGACACCGTGGGAAGGGATGTGCATTGTTCCCTGGGGAACAGACCCCATGGGAGGACATGCCCCATGCATGGTGCTCTGGGACACATATCCCACGGGAGAGAATGTCCCGTGCACGGTGTTCCCAACACAGACCCCCTGGCAGGGGATGTCCTGTGCATGGTGCCCCTGTGGGAACAAAGCTTTGTGGAGGTGGTACCAGGTGGCTGGGGGTGACCCAAGGATAACCTGCCCATTGCAGGTCACTCCAGCACCATGTCCCCATCATCAACCCCCATACCTTCTTCTCCTCGGGGGTGACACATGCCACCATGGCCAGGGTGAGGAGCAGGGCAAAGTCACCCCTTCCCATGGCTGTGGGGCAGTGAAGTGCTCGGCACAGCTCCTTTCCAGCCCTGCATCTCAGCCTCCTTTATAGGGCTGTAACCAGAGCCCCAGGGGCAGCAGGCTGGCAGCAGCAGGGGGAGTGACCTGGTGGCAGTGTGCCTGGGACAGGACAGGCGAGGTGAGGAGGTCTGTGTGACCTGGGCAGTGTCAGAGGAATGCAGGGATGAGCACGGCTGTGGAGAGCTGGGGGCACAGGGATGGTTTGCACATCCATGATCCAAGAGAATCTGCCAGCCCATTTCTTGCTCTGTGATGGAGTCCTCAGGTGGGCACAGGCTGACAGTGTCCCACTGCCCCTGTTCTGATGCTGGAGTCCAAACAGAGCACTGAAGCAAACAGGTCTTGCTGAGGAGTAAAACCCAGTGCTGGTGAGTACCCAATGCCCACAGCAAAGCATTCTCAGCCACAGCACCCTCAGTTGTCTGCAGGCACCCATGGTACACTGTGTCCTACCACCTGCTGCCCCAAAACCAACATGCAGCACCAAGATGCAGCACCATCCAGTGTTACTTCAGGACAGGGCAGCTCAAGGGCTAAGTTTCAGATTCAGACCAGGATCTGAGTTTCCTGGAAATCATTCATTTCAGCTGGGAGGAGTGACTTGGGCAGCACTAGCACTGCCCATTGCAATAAACCATGAAGTCTGACAGGCAGGGGGTTGGGGCTGAATTTGCTGAATGTCTGATTTCCAGTAAATCACACACATTAGCCTAAGAATAATTTTGGAGCTGGATGTGCTGCAGCTGCTGGCACTCTGAGCAGCCCTCACTGGTCATCAGCAGTATAGACACAGGTGAAACCCTGCACTTGCTTGCCATGAGTTTCCTCAGAGCCAGGGAGGCTCCCAACCAGATTTTTGGGGTGCAGAAGGGCTTCCCAGCTTGCCCTCCCATTCTCATCTCATTATGAGCAGGGAAAAGCCAGTGCTGGCCTGCACTTGATGTCAGATGGTCACTTTGGGAACACACCATCACATTAGGTCTGGAAAAGGGACTTTCTTGGGAGCAGTCTCTTCTCAGAACATCAGGGTGAGAACTACACCCTGCACCCACCATCATGTTTTAGCCCACCTTCCACAGGAGTTATACACAGACTACACAAGGCTAAGTTTAAAATAAAGTATTTTAATGTTTTCTTGTTATTGTTTAGTGTTGGTTTATGGGGACATCTTTCCCCAAAGTTCATAATGAACCGTGATGCTGGTACACACTGGTATTGCTGAGGCATCTCCTGGGCTCCCAAGCCTGGCTGAGCCTGTCTTCCTCCTCCTTTCAGCCCATCCGAGTGAAGGTGTTGCAGCAAGTGCTGCAAAGAAGAAGCAGCTCATCAGTGCCCAGACAGCAGAGGGGCTGGGGTCCCAGCTGGGTATACCTTGGCTCACCTGGTGGCTTTCCAGTTACTGGGGAGGGAGCTGACCTTCTCACGCAGCAGCCAGGAGGTCTGCAGGACCTCATCCCCTTCGTTCCCAGCAAAGCACTGTCCCACGAAAACAGCTGTGGAGTCTGGTGGAGCAATGGCTGTTAGAATCTTTTGGGGCTTCACAGGCTCCAGAAAGTTTAATGCTCCTGCAGCTTGGGTGGGTTCTGGAGTTTGCAGAGCAAAGCTCTGCAGCAGAGAAGCTGTCGAAGCAGCCCTGGTGCCGCCTGGCCTGACCAGTGCTGCAGGAGGTGTCCTGGCTGCAGACACCGCTCAGAGCGGGGAGAAATCAGGGAAGGGCAGACTGGGGACAGGAGAGGGAACAGAGAGATTGGGGAGGGCATTGGACCTGCCTGAGCTCCCCTCCCCCTTCCACTCCCCCATCCAGGCACCGCCACCACTTCAGCTACTCACCGGAAAAGGTCCAGTTGACAGTGAAGCCAAAGGTGCACTGCCCGTCCTCATCCAGGTGCTGGGAGCCAACGAGGGGGGACGGCTTGATGGGTTTCTGGGTGCTTGACACAGCAGTGTAGTACATGCCAGAGAAGTTGCCCTGGCTGTCAACCTTGGACACATTCATCTTGGAGCCCAGGTCATTCTCCCACCAGCCCACCAGGTCACACTGCTGGGTAACAAGTGGACGTGTCCCTGGGGCTGCCTAAACACAGACCCTATACCTGTCCCATCTAAAAAAACCCCCTTACCACACACCCCCAATTCCCTCGGGATCCTGGCACTCACCTTGCCCTCCCTTGCCGGGCGCTTCTGCTCACGCTCCAGCTGCCACTTGGTCTTGGTCTCCTTTTCCTCTTCAGTGCCACGTTTTTCCCCTCTGGGGATCTCGGCGGCGTGGCAGAGGAGCTTGGAAATGAAAGAAAACACAGGGAAAAGTTGTGGGCAGGAGCACAAGGTATCTCCAGAGCCCTGTGAGTACTCAGGCACTTGCTTTTAAGAGACATAATTTATAAAGTCACTGCCAAAAGCTGGGGTAAACCAAGCAGAAGGGGAGAGGTGAAGAGGAAAAGCTAAAGGCAGCAGCTTCTGACAGGCAGGGAAACAGGCAGGAC